TATTTTTGTTTGAGATGATTTAGTGTATTTTGAACTATTTTAATCTGAATGCACTGCAACCCTATAATAGAGCATACTATATGCCCAACTTTTAAAATAACTAGTTTAAAAGTATTATGTTTTAAATGTACAACTCGGTGGTTTCTAGTAAATTTAGAGTTGTGCAGATGTTCCCATAATCCAACCATAGGACTTTCACCACCCCATGCATCCCTTCTAGCCATGTACTCATGTAATGAGTACATTCACAGTTTTGTTAAGATAAATTCACATACTATACAATTCACCCAAAGTGCCCAATTCAGTGGCTTTTAGTTCATCATGAATTGTGTGACCATCATACTCAGTGAACATTGTTACCTCCAAAAGAAATCCTGTACCCCTAGCCATCTTTCCTTAGACCCCCTTCCCTCACTGGCTCTAGGCAACCACTGATCTGCTTTCTGTCACTGTGGACTTGGCTTACTCGGGACGGCTCATTTGACTGGAATCGTGACTTTGAACCATGGTGGCCCTCTGAGGCTGGCTTCTCTCACTTAGTGGGAGGTCTGGGAGGTCCTACCTGCTCAGCACGTGTTGGTGCTCCCTTCCTTCTCCCTGCCACCTGGTATTCCATTGCACGATCCCATGGTCTGAGTGTTTGGAGCCACATGACATGTCACCTAATACAAATATACTCCTGACATACATGAGCACACTCACAACTCTCACTTTCATCACCGCCTAGGTTCTAAGCCAACCTCCCATTAATGGAACTTGACTTGGAGCCTTTTCTCATCTCAGTTCTGTTAGGTGAACATGTCCACTGTCTTGGAGGTCCTGCATCTTACCCTCCTGCCTTCCGAGGCATTGCCTCTGCCTCTCTCCTGCCTCAGTTTACCCATACTACCTATTTCCCTGCAGCCCAATGGGAATGGTTGTATGCAAAGTAACCAGTAGCCCCCTTCATGCCAGGGCTCTGATCTCCAGAGGCTGGACCTTTGCCTCTGGTCTGCAGTGCTTTCACCTGGAATCTCATTTCCAGTTTCCATATCTTCCTCCTGCCTCGGGGTGGGGGTGCTCTGGCCTGCTCCTGTGCTCATGGCCCTCCCTCTCATGTCTGTGCAAAAACACTCATGTCCAGGAGCAACAGCCAGGTCCTCGCCAGTGCCTCTTCCCTCTTCCACCAGCCAAGGTAGGTTCTGCACCCTCCACACTTTTCCCCGCTGCCCGACCTTCCCAGGCCCTCTGAGATTCCACCTCTCTTCTCTATACACAAGACAGATGCTCCTAGGTTCTCTACATCTGGGTCTGTC